ACTAGTGACTATAAAGTTTCACTTCCTTTTTATATATCAGTATTTTTGCCATTTTGTAGGTTAAGACCCTATATCAGCTTGTATTTTTACCTACTCCTTTCCACGTTTCTGGAAATGCCTACATGTCCTACAAACGTGTCCTGGTTGCAGCCTGTCATCTTAGTCAACCCTGTGGCTCCAACCATAGCCCTATGCTCTGAAGACCATCTTTTGCCATCTTTTATTTGGCCTCACATAGGCAGTTTCCATTCTCTCTCTAAGCTGGGCTCCGAGCATGAAATTTCCTTAATTCCACACGCTAATAGCTATGATCAGCCTGTAGCAATTCACAAGATTTATTGAAGGCTTAGAGACTAAAAGGGGATTATGATCAGAGAAGTAAAGGACTAATATTCGAGATGTGATCACAGGCCCACTCTTCCACAAGAAGTCTCCCACCAGCCACCATTCTCCTTGGCATGGCTTGCCAGGATGTAGTAGTGCCATGATGTCATAGTGGCCTGCATCTAGGAGAAAACCCAAGTGTCTCTTCTGCCTGCAGGCAGGCTCCAACTCTGTCAGGCCCCAAGGGATGAAACTATTCCCTTGAGATTATTTAGTCTTCCATGGTGAATAAAAAAATGCACAGAAATAACAGAGAGGAAATGCTAGCAACACGTCCTTTAGAATACAGCTGGCAGATGCGGAGAAAATACCTGTGGAAATGGACCTCTGAGCTGGTGGGCTGCTTGTGTGGTGGGCATATGAGCAGTGTTGAGTCTAAGCAATGGCTGCCAATTTCAGAGACTCCCATCTAGAGCCAGGTCACCAGCTGACAGGTTTCCTTACCTGCACCCTTTGCAAACAGATATTCCCTCAACTCATCCTTTTACAGAGAGGAGACTCATTTCCATCGTCTGACTCTTTTGGAGGAGTCTCTATGTAATCTTCCTCACGGTGCACAGACTGAATTGATCACACTTCAATTTTCTATTTTAATGTTACCTAGTACTGTTTTTTAATCTCCCAAATTGATTTTTCAGTCAGTGTTTGCCACTGTCTTTGCTTGCATTGCTTCTTGCATTCTACACATTCTTCTGAGTTTGTTTTTTCCCCTGAACTACGTCCTTCAATTAGCTATTCTTTCAGCAAGAATCTAAGTGTAGGATTTTTATTTTGTCCTCGTGCCTGAATAATATCCTTTCTGGGTATAAAACTCCAGGTTTATAATATTTTTCCTCAGGACTCTGAAGATACTATCTTCTAGATAATCTAGAATCTTCTAGAATTTATGGCTGCTATTGAGATATGTGCTATTAATCGAATTGTTCATTTATAGGGAATCCTGTTCATTTTTTGCATGCTTTTGATATTTTCTCTTAGTTTTCTTAGTTTCACCACAAAATTTCCATGTGTGATTTAACTTTACTTATACTGTGCTTCTTGAATATTTATGTCTTTCACCAACTCTGGAAATTTCTGCCACTACATTTTTAAATATTTCCTCTTTATTGTTCTTCCTGTTCTCTCCTGCTATAAACTTCTGTTAGAAATATGTTGGATCTTTTCATTTTATTCTCTACATTTCTTACTCTTGCTTTTATATTTTCCATCTCTTTTTCTTTCTGTTCTGTATTTCCAGATTTTTTTCAGTTCTATTTTACACTTATTCTTTCTTTAGCTGTGCCTAATCTGCTATTTAATTAATTCATTCACTGAGTTTCCCTTACAATTACAAGTTTGTTTGTTTTTTTTTTTTTGTAATTTTTAAATCTTGAAAGGTTTTGAAATTTGGAATTTCATTTGGAAATAAAATTTGCTCTTTGGTGTAGTTGTTAAGACCCTATATTCTGGTATATAGACCGAAAGTGTGCCTACCCCTGCCCCCACCTCTGCCGCAAAATCATGTATTAAAATCCTAACCCCCAATGTTGGTATTAGGACAAGGGGCTTCTGGGAGGTGATGTGGTCATGAAGGTAGAGCCAGCCTTAATGGACTGAGGTGTTTGTATAAATAATGTCCTTGTACAAATTTGAACTCTACCACTTATTAAATTTATGACCTAGAGCAAGTTATTTAACCTTTTTGCCCCAGTTTTCTTTTGTATAAAATGGAAAAATACTAATGCCTCATAATACAATAATAATAGTGTTGCTGTGAGGATTAAATGAGCTAATATTTTTTAAAAGATTTTATTTATTTGAGAGGGAGAGAGGGACAGTGCAAGTGAGAGCTCAAGAACAGGGGGAGGGAGAAGCAGACTCCCGTTGAGCAGGGAGCCTGATGCAGGGCTCAATCCCAGCCGAAGATAGCTGCTTAACCAACTGAGCCACCCAGGTGCCCCAAAATGAATTAATATTTGCAAAACATTTAGAAAAGGGCGGAGCAAGTGGCCAGTGCTGTACTATTATCATCAGCAGCATCAACATTATTCAAAGTGGCCTGTCTTTTTGCATTTCTCATTCCTGCATTTAATTACCTCTGTTATAGCTTTAATAATTTTAAAGATGTTTCCAGTGTTTTGGGGTTATGTTAGCTCTCCATCTTGCAGAACCCCAGTAGACTTCTTCCTTCACATAACATGATTTCACAACTGCCTTCTTTCCTTGCTAGTCTTCCTGCCCTCTCAATATTTCCTTTCATTTTTTTCTTATCAGCTTCTTCCACTTCACATTAGTTTCTTTCCTTCTTTGGTAGTGTATTTCAATCCTACAGAGTCCTGTATGTACTATGTCAACCTGCAAAGATAAATAGACTTATTAATTGGTCTTCTACTGTCATTGAAACACCAAAGCATTTATACCAAGAGCAGTGCATATTGGCTTGATGCAGGAAAATATCACTTTAAAATCAGACTTTGATCCTTTAGAAATATTCCCGGGTGTCGCTCTTCTTCTCTTCTCTCTAGTGAGTATTCTAGATTTAATCATTCTTTCTGATAGCTATTGATGTGTTCATCATATTCTCTCACTGCATTCATGACTATAATGAACTGTGCTTTGAAAAATAACCTTGGTTGGCTACACTATCTTGAGGAAGAGTACCCAGACAGGCTAATGCAAAGATTCAGACCTCCTTGGCAGATATATTCCTACACTGAAGACAAGAACATTAGGCCAAACAATCTCTCTACTGGTAACCATTACCATACCCAATTCCTTTGCTCTGATTCCTAACTCCCCATGTAAACTTCTTAGAGACCATGATTCCTCCTATAGAACAGAGGCCCGTGTAGAAAGGCCAACCTGCAGGCATGATCCTATCAGGTCACATAGTATGAACTTTCTCTCTAAAAATCAGTAAATTAGAATTTGGCATCATAAAAACCACAATATAGACTGAGCCTTTGCTTTTAAAAAATTGTAGTAAAATATGCATGCCATAACATTTACCATTGTAACCTTTCTCGAATATCCAATTCAGTGGCATTATGTACATTCATATTATTGTGCAACCATCATCACCATCCATCTCTAGAACTTTATCATCATCCCAAACTGAAACTACCCATTAAACAATAACTCTCCTGTCTTCTTTCCCTCAGCCCCTGGTAACCACTATTCTACTTTCTTTCTCTATAAATTTGACTACTCTAGGTACCTCAGATAAGGAGAATCATGCAATATTTGTCTTTTTGTATCTGGCTTATACCACTTAGCATAATGTTTTCAAGATATATCCATGTGTACTATGTGTCAGAATTTCACTGACCCTTTTTTAACATACTGAATTTTACACATTTTTCCTTTCTGGGAAAGCTAAGTTTTATTAGTCACAAAGCCAGAAAGTGTTTTATCTGCACAGATACTGAGACCATGGCCGATATTTCTCCCTCATCAGCCCTTTAGATGCCATTCTCTTCCATCGCTGCTGCTCTGGCTCTGTCATGCTTGAACTTTCTTTTGCCTTTTAGCAAAAGAAAGACTTTGGAAACACATCATCTTCACATGAAAAGGGAATTTTTATTCTGAAATATGTAAGCTGCTTAACTTATTAGGTGAAAATGTGAAGGCACTGACCTTCACAAGTAGGGGAGCTGACTAGTCTAACGAGAAAATGATGTTTTTGGTGGCCTCAGCTTGTCTTTAATCCATCTCTGCCCTCCCCACAACCTTGGGATATTGTGGAAGGTAGCGGTCAAGTCTTGGTCATCCACATCCAGACACAGTTACTTGTTATGGGTACTTGTCTCTACCTTACTCCCCCTCCTCCCACTTACCTCCAACAGACTCCTCATTGGTTCTGCTCCATGCCTCTCAGCCACTTCCCCAGTGTTTCATGATGGTAATGATTAAGCTACTGTAGAGAGTAACAGATTTTCTAAGAAATTTTAGAAATTTAGAAAAAATTGACACAATCCTAAATTACTGCCTTTTGTAGCTAATTCCTGACTAATCCTCTATAAAATGTTATATTGGTTTCTAGGTTCTTTGCTTGATGATTTTAAAATAAAAAAAATTATTTTATACTTATAAAAATAATATTTAAATCAAGTTTAAAGTTTCAGGGAAAGAAGTGGTTTAATGGTGGGCTTTTGTTCTCTAGTGAAAACTGTCACGTTCAGTGTTTAGAAAAACAAATTATAAATATCAATTCTGGATTGAGTGATACCTATCTGGGGGGAGTAAAAAAGCAAATTGGAAATGGGGAAAACAGTTGATGAGTTAATAATGAAGCAGGTTGCAAATTATAAGTCTTTCAGTTATTCATCTTAGGAGACACTGGATGGCAGAGCCACTGGCTATTATTTTAGGATTTTTTGAAGATAGAAAAAGTCCTGAAGGACTGAGGAAAGAAACATTTATATAGTTCACTTATTTTTTTAAAAGGGACAAAGACCCTGATAACTAAATATTAATTTACTTAGCTCTAATTCTGAAATGAAGATTGTAGATCAAATCCTCAAAAAAACCAAGTACTTGTGGTGTTGAGTTCTACAGGCACATGATCCTGTAGAAGAACAGTGTGGCTTTATGAAACTCAGTATGTGTCAGACAATTTTAATTTCCTTCCATGACAGGATGACAGGACATGTAGCTTGGAGGCAAGCAACGGAAGCCATTTATCTGTCTTTTACTCAAGCTTTCAATTCTTTCATACACATGATGCCCAGCAGCCAGCTAGGAAAATAAGTCAAGCACCATGTTTCTCAAGCTTCAAGCCCTGGAGAATTCCATGAGAACTTTCACATGTAAGAATAAACATTCTTGTATTAGAAGATTATCTTTTTAAAAGTATTCTACCAGTTAAAAAGAAAAATACCAACTTCTGTTTTGCAGTAAAAAATTGTAATCGAAAGATATTCATGTGGAATGGAGTTTCTTAAGTCAGTGTTTTTCAAAACGGTTTTGGGTCCCCAGATGTATTTTGGAGGCTGTATTACAGGGTCGCAGCAGGAATCAGATGGCACAATTAAAGCGAGGTACTGAGAGAGTTACTGAAGGGACTATTTACAAAGGGGGGGTCAGAAGGTAGGGAATAAAGGATGGTGCAGCTGGGAACAGCTGTTACCGGGCCTGATCTGAGGGCGTAGGGGGAGCAATTACCAGAACCCAGAGAGAACAGCAATATGGCAAGGGCCACCAGCAGGAGGTCTGGACATTGGTAGGGGACACAAGTTATCCTGCCATGAACAGCCTGAGGCAGGTGTTCTGGACTCATGAAGTTTTATGCAAATTTGGGGATATATGTGTTAATGTGCTTCCTCCTGCAGAGTGGGCCCATAGATTTTATCAACAGTCTCCAAAATGAGTCCCAAATGTTAAGAGCTATATTTTTAAGTGATGGAAATAAAATTCAAACTGACTTTGTTATATTCCTGAACTTTATTATTTATAGCCCTTGTTAAGGATCTACAGGGTACAAAGCATTAAATAACATTCTGTAACTAGATACAAATAAGCCAGGAGAAGTTATTTAGTGTATTTTGGACCAAAGATTCAGTTTTACTGAGCAATTGTTAAGTGTGTCAGTTATTTATTTTGTTGGTGCTTAGAGTGAAACATGGAACTAAAGAGCTGGTCGTGGTGGTTAATGAGTTCACATAGCAAATTACATTGATTAATATACACATATTACTCTGAAAGTGGTTAAGAATAACATTTGGGCAAAATTAAGTTGACAGGCAGTTAGCTATATATTTACTTTTATCTGTCTATCATTTTCGGTGGTTTTGTTTGTTGGTTTTTTGTTTATTTTCATATATAAATCATTATATACTACACACACACACACACACACACACACACACTTGCACTGGTGCCTGGTACATTGTAAGTGAATGAATGAACACTGGGTGTTACGCGCAAACAATGAATCATGGAACACTACATCAAAAACTAATGATGTAATGTATGGTGATGAACATAACATAATAAAAAAAAAGTGAGTTATACACATAAATTCATTACATGTATACACACATATAAAATATATGTCTTAATCAGCTCAAGCTGACAAAATATCATGTGGCTTAAGCAACAGAAATTTATTTTCTCACAATGCCGGAGGCTAGAAGTACCAGATCAAGATTCCAGCCTGTCCCATATCTGGTGAGCAGATGGCCACCTTCACAGTGTGCCCTCACATGGTCCTTCCTTGGTGAGTGTGGACACAGAGAGAAAGAGAAGGAGCTCTCTGGTGTCCCGCCTTTAAGGACACTGATCCTATCCAGCCAGGGCCCTACACTATGCTCTCCTTTACCTTAATAATTTCTTACCGGCCCCATCCCCAAATGCAGCCCCCCGGGGATCAGAAATTCAACATAGACATTTCGGAGGGGATACAAAAATTCCTTTTTTAAAAAATTTATTCTGTGGTGAGGACATTTGAAATTTGCTATAAGAGTAAGCCTTAAGTATACAATTACCATGCTGTGATCCCCAGAATGTATTCATCTTGTAACTAAAAGTTTGTATCCTTTAACTGATTTAACCAGCATCTCCCCGTTTCCTTCACCTCCCCCCACCCCCCACCCCACCCCCGCCGCCGCTCCTGGTAATCACCATTCTATTCTCTGTGTCTAGGAGTTTGACTTCTTTTTGTTTAAGTATTCCACATATAAGTATTACTATGCAGTATTTATCTCTCTTTGTCTGGTTTATTTTACTTAGCATAATGCCCTTCAGTTTCATCCCTGTTGTCACAAATGGCAGGATTTCCTCCTTTTTATGGCTAAATAATAGTCTATTGTGTGCACAGGCCACATTCTCTTTATTCATTCATTGATCAACACTTAGTGTTTTTTTTCCATATCTTGACTACTGTAAAAAAGGTAACTATGTGAGGTAGTGGATGGTGTCAATTCACTTGATTGTGGTAATCATTTCACAATGTATTTGTATATCAAATTATCACATTGTACACTTTAAATACATACAATTGTATTTGTCAATTATGTCTCAATTATATATATGTGTGTGTGTGTGTGTGTGTGTATGCACACACATTGAGGAATAAGAGTCAAGTGAAAGAGCTTGATCTTTATATAACTATTCCAGGGGAGACACCATCTAAGAACTTGGAGAAGTTCACCTAGAGGAATGCCCTGCCATATTCACAGACTATCCATTCTTCTAAATCATTGGCAGCAAATCACCAGGGGAAACTTTTTAAGTAGGGCTTCCCAGTCCCATTCCCAGAGATTCTTCTTTAGTTGGCCTGAGGAAGGGCTCCAAATGATGTTTTTTTTAAAGGCTTCCCTGGTGATCGTAATGTGTACCAGTGTTGAGAACCACCTGGAGTAGGTGCATTGACCACCGCCCACCCCACCTTCATACCCAGGCCATCTGCACCAGGGCCCACGCTCCTCACTACATTACACTGTGACCTCTTAGAATTGGGACTAGTTATTCTTCTCCTAATTATTAGTTCACATTTTATCTTAGAGACACTAAAATTTTCTCTTTATGAAGCGATGCTAGCCAGCCCAAAGCCAATTTAGGACCTGCCATCTGCCAATGAATAGACTGTATGGAATGCATCTATGCATCTTGGTATCAGCTCCAGGCTCTGGGCCAGGGATGCCCCTTCCCCTCATGTTTCCCTTTTCTTCCCCACTTACTCTAATTTATGCTATTTTGATGTGCTTTTATTATCCTTGTAAACTGTTTCTAATTATTTTAGGGAAGAAGAAGGGATATATATTTATAATGAATGAATGAACAAAGGAACAAACATATCAAAACATGCACACAAACAACCATACATAGGAATAACCAGAAGAGAGTGTTTGCAAGCCTATCTATCTGTTTCTTGAAGAGTGTTCAAAGAGGGCAAGATGAAATGGGTGGAGAAGATGGAATTAGGAGTGAAGTGAAAAGCCAGTGAGCAGACACAAGGCAGGCACAGGGGAGCAGTCGGAGAATACCTACAGAGGACTTCTCCGTGGCAGTCTAAGGGGAGAAGGGAGACATGGGCCTTTCAAATGAGGACAAGCTGTGTGGTCAGAAGCCAAGTTCATGGAAAGGATGAATGTTCTCAACACAATATAGGAATGAGAACAAATCAGTATCTTCCTAGTGTAACCCTAGTTCGAAGGGAACAAGAAGGGAAGTTATGTTGGGCTGAGGGGGAATTAAGCTTGGAGACCTTCCTGAAGGTGATGAATCTGGATTTGGTTGTGACAGTGGGGAAAGCCATATGCTATAGGAGAAAACAAGAGGTTCTAGACATCGCCACAACTCTACACTGATGGTACAGAGGATTTTCCTCCCCCAAAAAGTGAGATGGGAGGGACAGTCAGGGGAGCCCGGCTGACAAGGGACTGACTAAGGAAAGGATGAATCTTGCGAAGATTGGGCATTTTGTAAGAGTTTATACAGGACATGCTAACAAGAGGATTCCTTCTCCATTTAATGAATATTTATTGAGCACCTAGTATGTGACAGGTACTGTTTCAGGTTCTTGGGATACATCAGTAAATAAAACAGGTACAGACTTTGCCCTCGTGAACCTTATAGTCTAGGCAGTAGACATTAATCAAATAATGACCCAAATCACAACATAATTGCAAGCTGTGGTGAGTACTTTGAGGAGGCCGTAGAGGGGCTGTGGGAAGCTATGGGTGAGGCTGGCTGGGAGGACTCTGGTTTGAGGACCAGGAAGGTGGCGGACAGATTGGAGAAATATTTAGGAGAATCAAATAGGATTTAGCGATTGACTGGAAGGAGACAGAATCATCAGAGGTCTCCCAGGGTCCTGGCTTGTTCAGCTGATACTATTTTCTGAGATGGGAAATAACTAGTGGGGAAAACACACATACACAAACTTATGTAGGTGGGCACACATACCCACACACTCCTAGTCAGGAGCTGAGAGGATGATTAACTGTAATTCTTCTTCTCTCTCTTTCATAACCTCCTCTTCTCCCAATAAAAAGGAAAATAAAGGCAATTTTCCAGGACCTGACAGGTAAAAATTCAATCTGAAGGCTTATGGAGAGCACTACGAAGTATTCCACGTGGTCTACAAAGATATGAAACAAAATGAAAAGCTCGCTAGTGACTGCAGTGTTATTCTACATTACTTTCAGCTCTGATCTTTGTATCTGACGGTCGATTATTGGGGTACCTTAAAAATCACACTCCAAGCCTATCGATTGCCAAAAGAAGTCCTCAAACTGATGCACCTCTCAGGGGGGTTGTTTATTGTCAGTGATTAAAAGAAAATCCTTTTTTGGGGTGCCGGATGGCTCAGTCATTAAGCGTCTGCCTTCTGCTCGTATGGTCCCGGGGTCCTGGGATCGAGCTCCACATCGGGCTCCCTGCTCAGCGGGAAGCCTGCTTCTCCCTCTCCCACTCCCCCTGCTTGTGTTCCCTCTCTCACTGTGTCTCTCTCTGTCAAATAAATAAATGAAAATCTTTAATAAAAAAAGAAAAAGAAAGAAAATCCTTTTTTTTCTGAGCAGGAGCAGGCTCCTGGAGACTCCACCAGCCTAGACCATGTTGACCACCAACAGGGAAACCCACCCTGCGCCTCCACTCTGTCACCCATGTGGCAAATAATCTTTATTATGATTGGAATTAAGCTTTATTTGAGCCATGACCATATAAATCTGTACACAACACTACACACTATACAAGCATGTCAGCCATCCTCCACCCATCCCCCATCCATGCTTTAGAAACCCCTCCAGAGGGCAGCAACTCATACAGAATGCAGTCACACAAAAGTACGACTTTCACATCCTGAACTCAAGTCTAAACTCGGTTGTTATTAATTCCTCAGCCTATTAGGTTAGTATTGAAATGAGATTTAAAAATACAGCCTCCTTGAAACATTTCCTCGAGAGACAAGAAAACGGCTAGAAGGTAATTTAGTCATTTGTGAGTTCTGAAAAAAATCAAGATCATTCTTTGCATTACCTAGGGTTTTCATCTGAATATATATTGTGGCCTAGAATTGTTATATTCCATGCTAAAAATCACAAACATGGGCAAACATAAGCCTCTAATCCTATTCCGTGGCGCACTGAAATCACGCAGGGGGTAGAAAAGAAGAATGGTCAAATTTCCTGAAGGGTGACCTTCTCATATAGACCTACATTACACTGACACTTTTTTTATGTAGATATTCTAAGTGTGCATCATCAATTTCTGTCACTTGTCCAACACCTAGTAAGTGCCTGACAATGTTCCAACATTTCTGGACTGGTTTCAGAAACAGAGTGACTGGAAACTGTATCTACAAGTGGCTAGTCTATTTCGATGTGAGCTTAATTAATGCTGCATATGAAACTCCAAATGTTACAATCCAGGAGTTTTAAATTTTTAATTATACACTAACAGTTATTCTAAGATGAAATTTTAATTTAATTTAATGTTAAGCATTAAATTCCTTTACAATAAATTCATTTTTTCAAGAGAAAGGGGTTTTATAAAACCACTCTATTATGATTTTAGCACATGGATAAGAACTATATAAAAACATCACAAATAATATATGACTTCAGCATTACAACTTGAACTACAAAGTTGCAGGGAAGGATTGCGCTGCACAGTTATGACATCTGGTCATGAAATCCAAGCTGCTGTTTAATGAAGTTGGAGATTAGGGGCTGAGGCTATTGCTCATGGAGCAAACGGAGCTGGTCATATTTAAGTCTGTCAAGATGTGT